CGATAGCCATGTTTGTTTATATGCTAGGACATCATAAAATTATCCTAAAAGTAAAAATTTTCATGGATCTACAATCTGTCGATACCTGTATCTTGGCATTGCTTATGGTCATGTTTTCTCTGACTGTTTATGACGTCTTTACACTAAATCCATTGGATGTGTACTGATTGATAATTTAGTCTTAGATGCATGATTTGTTTATTAGTTGTTAGTGGCTGCGAGTACTCTCAGATCAGTCTTTACTGTCTTTTTTGTTGTTGGGATATACAAGTACCCTGCCACGTCCACTCTGTGCTTTTAAAAGAAGTTGTGGTATGATTGCCAATGAGATAACTCTCCACAATGACACAGAAATTAACAACTATAGGTCACCGTACGGCCTTCAACAATGAGCAAAGCCCATACCACATAGTCAGCTATAAAAGGCCCCGAAATGACAAATGTAAAACAATTCAAACGAGAAAACTAACGGCCTAATTTATGTACAAAAAAATGAACGAAAAACAAATATGTAACACATCAACAAACAACATGCAACCACTGAATTACAGGCTCCTGACTTTGGACAGGCACATACATACAGAATGTGGCGGAGTTAAACATGTTAGCGGGATCCAAACCCTCCTCCTAACCTGGGACAGTGGTGTAACAGTACAACATAAGAACGAACTATAAAAATCAGTTGAAAACGGCTTAACTTATCAGATGGATACAAACAGAAATACTATCCTAAGACAGCTTGTTAATGTTAATGTAGTAGTCCTTAAGTTGGGACCAAAATTAGAACATATCCTAAGATAAGATCTTTTCGAAACACGGCTAAGAGCAAAATTCTCCTAAGAGTATCTTTGGACATATCTTAGTCCTAAGACACCTTCGATGACACGGTCCCTGTCTATATATCCTAACTTTAGGACCAAGTTTATGATCTTATTTACGGAGACTTCTGTTAAATTGACTTAGGACTAATTAAGACACGGTCTACTCTAGGGACAAATTCATTGACACGGTCCCAGGTAAATATATATAAATATATATATAGTATCAAAATAGTTTTATCTAAAAGAGACTTTAAATAGTAACTTTAACAGTTTTTTGATTGCATAATAAAACATATTCCTCCTAAATCAGTCATCGTAACATCAGTCAAAGCACTATACACAGATACTTTCTTTATAATAAGAGACTTTTCACTCTAACTTAAAAACTCAGTGATAGAGATCATAAAACCTAAAAGAAAGCACTATAGTCTATACACTAGAGTAAAACTAAAACTTCCGTTGTTCTGAATTAAGGCTTGTAAGCAATGGCTATGGATGTACTCATGTACACTGGATGACTTATATGTGTGGTCATTATAAATTACGGACTTATCTCATTTATATAAAAATAAGAGGATGTGGTAACTATGATTGCAAATGAGACAACTATATATCCACCCGCAAAGTTCAAATGAAGTGGATATACATGTGAGCACTATGTAGTTTCAAACCTACGTACGTGACCTACAGTTGTATATGAGTATGAAATTAATTAGTTACCTAGGAAAATACTCTTACAACAAAAATCTTATTCACGATGAAGCAATGAAATATCTAAATTTTTTCATATATGTTACCTGTAAAATGGTGCAAATGTGGTTTTTATTTTTTGGCGCAAATGAAATATAAACTAGTGGCGCGAAAGAAAGTTTGAATTTTGTAAAAATTGGTGCAAATGCAGTGCGCCCGATTCAATACGACTTTAATCTTGCTCGTGATAATATATTGAAATAAACTGCTTCGCTGAGCGCAGCTGGATACGCCCGCAGAGGTCCAACCCTGAACAGTTGGGGCAAAAATGGACACAATATTCAAGCTTGATACAGGTCTGAATTTGGATTGTAATTAAATATTTGATATATTATAGGTTTCTGAATAAATGTAGTCAGAGAACTTGAAATTGGTTATATGAAAGATTTCTTGCTGTTGTGCAATACACATTGCTGTAGCGTAATACGTAGTAAATCTGTTGTCAGACTATAAACAAATAAAATCTTATAACTCGGAAACATAAAATAGAAAATTTATAAAAATCAAAAGGAAGCTTACAAAAATAGATATAAACAATTTATCAAAGATTCATAAAAAATGCTGAAATTGTTTTTGAGTTATTGTCCGAAAACTGGAAAATCCCCCTTTTTGTAATGAATAAAACCTAATAAATTGGAAACGTATAGTCTGAAATTTATAAAAATCAAAAGGGAGCTAATGTCGATAGAAATAAACAATTCACCAAAGTTTCTTGCAAATTGGTGAAATTACTTTTGAGTTATTGTCTGAAAACTGGAAAATCCCCCCTTTTTTAATGAATAAAACCCCAAAACTCGGAAACGGTAAATCCAAAATTTATAAAAAACGTAAGGGAGCTCACGTCAATAGATATGAAAAATTCACAAAAGTTTCTTGCAAATTGGTGAATTTTTTTTTGAGTAATTGTCCGAAAATGGAAAATCCCCCCTTTTTAATGAATAAAACCCCAAAACTCGGAAACGGTAAATTCGAAATTTATAAAAAACAAACGGGAGCTCACGTCAATAGATATGAACAATTCACAAAATTTTCATGCAAATTAGTGAAATTGTTTTTGAGTTATTGTCCGAAAACTGGAAAATTCCCCCTTTTTTAATGAATAAAACCCCAAAACTCGGAAATGATAAATGTGAAATTTATAGAAAACGAAAGGGAGCTCACGTCAATAGATATAAACAATTCACCAAAGTTTCGTGTATATTGGTTAAAGTGTTTTTGAATTAATGTCCGACATGTTAACGACGGACGGACGGACAGACGGACAGACGGTCAACGGTACACCATAATACGTCTCGTAAACGGGCGTATAAAAAGTGGATTATAAATTGTTTTACTACCTGTTTATTATTTTACAGATTTGAGTAGTTTGACGTTAAGGATATTCACTATTTATTTTTAAAGTAACAGGCTTTTTCGAAGACTGTTATATATTGATAGTATAAAAATAAAGAAATTAAAAAAGAGGAAATAATGAAGGGTCCGTGTGCTTGTTTTGAGATATGATAAACCATTGAAAATTTGGCGGGAAATAATTTTCTGTAGATTTTTCTTAAATTTAACCGGTACCTTTTTTCTTTCAAAAACAATGAAATATAGAAAGGAGTTTAAAAGATTTTCAAATATGACAATCTAAATTATATGTAATTAAAATTGTGGAAGGAAAGGTAGGGGTTAGTGGGTCATTTTTTTTAATAGCACTGCATGAATAAAACCTAAGGATTCCAAATGCTTGGCGCGACTTCATCAAAACGTCACTTTCTGCGGGACGTCATGCGTATTATTTTCCGTAATAAGAACGATATTTTCTATAATTTACAATTTGATTTTATGAAGTAATGTGGCTTAAATTACGCAAAAGGCAGTTAATGTATAATAGCACTATGAGAAAAATAACAATATAAGAACCTCTCGATTTCCACATAAAAGTAAAAATAAAAAAATATCCCACTTTGAGCAACTTATCCGTAATTTTAAGCATGGCTTGAAATGTTAACTAGTCATTCTCGTGGGGATTTATTTTCCCCTTATTTGAACTAAATCACAGCATCAGATTGAATCCAATCAATTTATGACGAAGAATATATCTACTCCAAAAATTTTATAACTTTGCTTTACTTTTTTACAAAAGTGCAACAATCCCCACTTTTCAGCCTCAGTTTTCTCGAAAACAAGCACGGTGACCTATGTTTTATTCTTTTATAACTCGCCCAGGCCAATCAAAATTATGAAAATGACAATGACATGAAACTGTATCGGATGCCCTGCATCTTTAAATACTTTTCTGTTAAATTGCAACCGGTTTAATCATTAAAAAAATTCACGTTAAATAATCCTATGAAAAGTATATTTAATAACTTTTATGTTTAATCAAGAATCACAGACTTATCTTATGCTACGGCTATAATCTGTTGGCATAGGAATTGACCATTTTCCGCTGTTTTTTTTTAATTTGAAATGGGTGGCAGCTTAAACCCACTCGAATTTGAATGTACATTTGAGTAAATAAAAATATAATTAACTGTCTTATGCTTTTTCTGTTGTCTGGTTGTCGTCTCAACGACATATTACAAACCACACACCCTCCCTTTATTTATAATACAAATTCAACAATTCTACATACATGTCAAAAACTTGAAATTAATTAAAGTTGTATCTGAGACAATATATTTTCGCTGGAAGATTTATTTCAACAGAATATTCGTTTTATGCGGTTTTGTCACGATTTCAGTTCTTACTGTGTTCGATTATTAATTTCAACCGAACACCCACGATAACAAGCAAGTCCGACTTGATTTATTTTCAATAGACTTTCTGCCGAGTAAAGTTTTAAAACTGCATGCATTTCAGTCTGAAGATGAAATTAAATCTCTCCAAAAAAAAGTTGAGAATATTACGCTGCATAAAAAACTTTGCAGTTTAACAGTGAAAAGAAGTTATTTGATAATATGAATTTACGGTAACATTTGATTTAGATATAATATACTTTCAACAAATATGATATTTCGAGAATAATGACCACCCTATGACAATAATGATAGAACCAAGAGGGTTATTTCCAGTGGGCAATAAACATGTTTCTTATCATCTGATTATAAGTACTATCATGGGGATGCTAATCTTAATGAAACAGTGTGTGTTATATCCTTCTGATTGACCCAAGACACAGTAATAACATGGAAGTATTATATTGAATACCTCTATGGTTATTCTTACGTCTTTAAAGTTGTAGAACTTCCGCGATACACTAATAATCGAGGATTATGCTGTGGCCAGTGGGGGATTATGTCATATCCATATAGGCGCGTGTTTTGTTATCACAACCAGTAAACGAGGTCATTCTGTTGCGTACTTTGGTCAAAGAAAGAGAAAGATGGAGTCCCCTAGAAATGAAAATAAGCTGAATGGAATTTCGTTTTCAAGGAGAAGAGTCCGAAGCTTACTTATGCCGGAGAGTTCTGGTAAGATATATACTTTTTAATCCATAGAAAATAAGAAGAGAAAAAAATTCATTGTTATTTAAAATATGATTTCTGAATATGAATATGAAAAACCGAGGTTTGCCCAAGTTCATTCAGAATACAAAAATGTTTGTCATATTTTTATGTTATGGTATATGTTAATGAATAAGAAATGGAGGTATACAGTTAATTCGGGATTGTTTTGTCTTAAGTAGCCAAACATTCCCATTTTTATTTAACATTTCTTTATTCTGCCTTGCTGGATCTATGTGATCACTTCGGATTTTGGGATGTTGCAGAATTCTAAGTTACACACATATCATAATACTCATCAAGTTGTCAATACTGGCAAATATTATTCGATTGAAATTTTCATAGTTCTATTGACGAGATTTACTTTTAGTAGAGACCAAGTTTCGAGTTAAAAAAGTGAGTATCGAGTAAAAAAAAGTGTGTAATAACTCGATACTCACTTTTTGATGGGGAAATTTATTTTAACTTTATTCCTTTGGCATGATTCATTTTATCAAGGATGTATATTAGTATTTTAGTTATATATCCTTGGTTATATTGACCATCAACATGAATAATGACTAACTTAGTTCTTAGGGATAGTAATATGAAACGGATAGGACCACTTGAATAGTAAACATCTCAAACAAAACAGTAGTCAGAATAGTTCGCAAGAAACACCCAATTTAATACTTGGGAACTATATTCCACGAACAAGGGGAATTAATTGTGGTCTGAAGCCTATTAGACACCAAAATGTTGGTATTTCTTATGAAACTTTACATTTACTTAGCATGATATCTTAGTAGCATAAGTGCCAAATTTTATTACTTTCTGAACGTTATTAAAACAGTTTGGAATGTTTTATATAAGTGCATATGTCTGCGGAGAATGCTATTAGCAAAGTTTTAAGACCTCAGTCAATAGATAAAAGAAGATTTGGTATGATTGCCAATGAGACAACTCTCCATCCAAATCACAATTTGTAAAAGTAAACCATTATCTAATTTAAACTAAATAAAAGTTATGGCTACTGGATGTTATAAAGGAAATTGGGCAACATTTATATGAAGAAATTATTTGTTAGGTTATTTATTTGCCTTGATCCAGTAGCCATAACTTTTATTTAGTTTAATTGTTAAAGCTTACTGCCACTTGTGTGCCAGTTTTGTGCAAACTTATATCCCTCTAGTGCTTATCAGAAGTGGTCAATATGATACGTGTACAGATATAATAAGCATTATTGTGGGTAAATTAATACTGAAAAGTTTCTTTATTTCCACTGCCTATCCTTATTGGTTATGTATACATGTACTTCAAAACAACTTAAAAGTAAATTTAGACTTGACACTTTTTAATTTTAAGATATTTTGCTCTTCATATTTTTATACGTGGTTGTACGTTATCTCCCAGGGTCAACTCGTTTTTGGAAAACTTATTGAAAATGCACCATAAGGTACTCTCATTCACTCTGATAATGACCTATATACCCTTATTTTTTTGTATGCACTGTTCTAACTAATTTTTAAGCACTGTTTAAAACTGTGTATAATTTGTATTAAAACAGATGAATCACCAAAGAAAAGAAAAACTCAAATTTCTAATAGTGGCCTGGGTGCAGTGTATTCGAATTATCAACAGTGCTCCTCAAATAAAGAAAATAAAAGAAAAAGGTGAGGTTATAAATTTGTCAAATTTCCTTTTTATAATATCAATTTATCACCGTTAACAGTCAGGGGAATTACTTAAATGAGTGATATCTTAAATCACTGGTTCAGTAACATTTGAATGTTATGTAACTTTAGATCTATACTAACGATCCAGGGACTAATCACGTTTGCTAAAATTATCAGAACCAACATCTGTGTTTAAAGAATGACCGGTCATGTCAGGTGATGACCTTGTACTGAATCTGGGATAATGACATGAAAATCACTTGTATAAATATATCATAATTCTATATTATTTTAAAGAATCATTTTACAGAGGTTTCTTTTTTTTCAATTTTACTCACAATAAGATATAATATAAACCTGTATGTTTAAAATTTTAGTAAAACTACAAAATACAAAATACAAAATTATTTTTTTATCAAGGCTTCAGACCCCAATTAAGTTGATAATTTTTGCTATTTATAAGTGATTATTTCAAAAATTCCCCTGACTGTTTAAACTTAGTAATACTATTAAAAAAAATCCCTGAAGATACAGTTTGAATATAGATATGTAAGACAAGTATCCAACAGAGACCAACTGAGGTTGATGTTAGAAACTTTATGTGTGTGTGAAGAACTTTCATATTCTTTTTAATAGATTTCTAGTTTTTATACGACCGCAAAAAAATTTTGTGGTCGTATATTGGTATGACGTTGGCGTCGTCGTCGACGTCGTCGTCATCGTCGTCATCCGAAGACACATTGGTTTTCGCACTCTAACTTTAGTTTAAGTGAATGGATCTCTATTAAATTTTACCATAAGGTTCAATACCACAAAAGGAAGGTGGGGATTGATTTTGGGGGTTATGGTACCAACAGTTAAGGAATTAGGGGCCAAAAAGGGGCCAAAAATAAGCATTTTTGTAACTTCCAGACATAACTTGTGTGTTAGTGTATGGATCTCTCTGACATTGTACCACAAGGTTCCATATCACAAAGGGAATGCTGGGATTGATTTTGGGGGTAATTGCCTCCAAATTTTAGAAATTAGGGGCCAAAAAGTGGCAAAAAACAAGCATTTTTCTAGTTTCATGACAATAACTTGTGTGTAAGTGTATTGATCTTTATGAAATTGTACTTCAAGGTTCCATATCAAAGGAAAAACTGGGATTGATTTTGGGGGTAATTGCCTCAAAATTTTAGGAATTAGGGGCCAAAAAAGGGGCAAAAAACAAGCATTTTTCTAGTTTCATGACAATAACTTGTGTGTAAGTGTATTGATCTTTATGAAATTGTACTTCAAGGTTCCATATCACAAAGGAAAAGCTGGAACTGAGTTTGGGGGTAATTACCCTAAACGTTTAGGAATAAGGGGCCAAAAAGGGGCCAAAAATAAGCATTTTTCTAGTTTCCAGATAATAACTTGTGTTCAAGTGTATGGATCTCTCTGAAATTGTACTGCAAGGTACCATACTACAAAGGGAAGGCTGGGATTGATTTTGGGGGTAATTGCCTCAAAATTTTAGGAATTAGGGGCCATAAAGGGGCAAAAAAACAAGCATTTTTCTAGTTTCAGGATAATAACTTGTGTGTAAGTGTATTGATCTTAATGAAATTGTACTACAAGGTTCCATATCACAAAGGGAAAGCTGGGTTTGAGTTTGGGGGTAATTGCGCTAAACGTTTAGGAATTTGGGGCCAAAAAGGGGCCAAAAAACAAGCATTTTTCTAGTTTCTAGACAATAACTTGTGTTCAAGTGTATGGATCTCTCTGAAATTGTACTGCAAGGTACCATACCACAAAGGGAAGGCTGGGATTGAGTTTGGGGGTGATGAATCATAAGGGGGTTCAAAAGATTTGGGGGGGGGGAATTTTTTTTTCCTTTTTTCTTTAAAATTTTCCATTCTAAATTGGTTATTTCTGATTTATATATAAAAGCAAATAATAATGATATGGTTTGAATAGGTAAATTAAAAAAAATTAAGTTCTTAGACCACCTTCATTCTGTGTCAGAAACCTATGCTGTGTCAAATATTTAATTACAATCCAAATTCAGTGCTGTATCAAGCTTGAATTTTGTGTCCATACTTGCCCCAACTGTTCAGGGTTCGACCTCTGCGGTCGTATCAAGCTGCGCCCCAGCGGAGCATTTTATTATATAACTATTTTGAAAAAAAATCAAGCGTGTAGTTCAGTAGTTGTCGTTGGTTCACAGCTGTCATATTTGTTTTTCGTAAATTGTTTTGTTATAAATTAGGCCGTTAGTTATGTCAATTGAATAGCTTTATATTTTCATGTCGGTCCTTTAATAGCCGACTATTACGGTACTATATAGCCATACAGTATGGGTTTTTCTCATTGTTGAAGGCCGTACAGTTACCTACAATTGCCTACATCCACTTCATTTGAACTTTGGTAGATAGTTGTCATATTTGCAATCATACCACATCTCCTTATTTTTTTAACAATCATAGACACACAAAAAGTAAATAAATGCATGTTATGTTCTTCTTGTATATTTTATGATGGTATGATACTAAATTCCTAATCTTGATTTTCATATAATTGAGGTCTGGAACAGGCATGTCAGTAACTGCTAGTAGTCCTTTGTTAATTGCTGTATCATTGTCCTTTTGTTTAGTTTCTTCTGTTACCTTTTCTAACATCGGACCTAGACTTCTTAAAAATTGAGTGTTTCTAAACTTTATCATCAAATATAAAGGGTTTCCAGCATTTAAATTAGATTTAAAAATACCTTTCCAGAGCTTCTGGTAAAGCGATCCTTATCGATATACCAGTTTGTGGTAAATCATTTCAAGTAGTACAGTTAGAAATTTATTGTGATCCAACAATTAATATACCACTTACATTGACTATATTTTTCCCCGGTGCAACGCGTTGCGGGGGACATAGAAATATTGGCGTCCGTCCTTCCGTCCCATCTACTAAGCGCTGTCACGTGTACAATTCTTGCCAGATTTTTATGAGACTTATGTCATAGTTTTAAATTAGCAATTTCGTGAACGAATTTAAAAAGCCGTGCCTTTCATTTATTTTTAAAGAGCTAGTTATGCCCCTTAGAAATATTAATTATGGTGAAAATTGCCAAATGAATGCTCGAATGTGAACAGTTCTTGCCAGAGTTTTGAAAAAATTATACTATAGGTAAATATTAGCAATGTTTTGGACGAGTTCGAAAATCAGTGCCAATCAATTGCCCTTGGAAATATTAATCATATGGAAAATTGCATTGTTTGCGCTCTCATTCTTGGCATAATTTTATGAAACTTATATCAAAGGTTTATACCAGCAATATGTTTAAGATATCAAGTATGAATATTACATGAATTAGGTCAATATTCTTTAAAAAATAAACGTCTTTTGAAATAGCACATGTGACCTCTTGAAAGAAATAGGATCAAGAAGTCCTATATTTGGTCCTTATGTCAAATTTTTCAATATTCAATCCAAGACTTATATTCATATCTTAAAAAGGCAAATTTGAAAAGACTACATATTTTTTTTCTCGAAAAATTTTAGTTTAAAAAAATGAATATTTAATACATGCATTGTAGCCAGATTGCTTGTATTTATGCATTTATAGGCCTTTTTATCTGAATAATATTGGTCACATACTAAGAGTAATAAAAATGTATCAAATTATATATATGGTTCAAATTCACACTATTACAAAACATATGGTTGTCCATTCATGCTGCCAATACCTTTGTAAACACCCTGTTGAAATTAGTCAAAAATTGTTTATTCAAAATTAAGGTTTTTCTTCATAAGAGTGTATAACTTTGATGGATTGTGATGACACTGACCGAAAAATAGTAGTTTTTAATTTGGCATTTTCTCAATTTAAAAGGAAAATTAAGAATTTAAGTAATATATTCTGCCAAAATATAAGTCCCTTATCTTGTACCATGTCCTTTGTCTGATGCTATTCAACAAATCCGGCTAACTGTTGAACATATAGCAATAATTAAAATCATTAACTGTTTCTGGTATTTGATGTAATTAAACTATTAAATTTTAAAATTAAAAAAAAATATGCTTTTATGAAATAAGGTGTTTTTACAAGTAACGTAACTAAAAAAAATGAAGCAACATGTACCGTTACTCTGAATAGAAATGCATTTACAAAGAATGGTATTATCCTCACTATCTAAATCATCTTTTTTTCCCGGAAATAGATCATTAGAATAATTTGTTTTCTTTTTTAGATTTTACTTTCTATGAGTACACACAGTATCTTCAAGCAGAACAATGGATATTGATCAGACCAGACAGTCTGGAGAATTTACCATGGATAGAAGTAACAAAAGTGACAGCAACACATTCGATTGGTTTAATGGATATTTTGGGCAGGAGTAGCAGACTGGTACATTGATTCCAAAATCTTGAACAAATAACAACTGAACACATTCTTGTCTCTTTTAAGTGGGATAATGTTAATCTTTAAAAAATGCCAGCACAATTGAAATTAATATGGGATAGTTGAAAGAAGAAATTTCAAAATGATACATATTATCACAATGTTGTATTTAGACAACCTCTATTTTTGTGAAACAGTTTTTTTTAAAAACTTTAAATACTGTGATGATCTACAAAACATTATTAAAAGATGAACATGCAGGTCTCAAGTGTGATCCAGTTTTTAACCGCTTTTCGCTTGAAAAAAAAATCAAGCTTTTTTAAATTTATGAAGTGACAACAATTGTTTCTACTGGATTTACATTGAATAAATAATATTATCCAGACATTAAAATATTTTCATTTTTTCGCAATGTTTTTATCAAATTTTTTTAACCTTTCTAAGTCAGACTTCTTGATGCTTCTAGTTGTTACACACTACATTTAAAACATTGTCACATTTCATATGATATATTCTGGCTTTCATTGTATTTTGTGTTTTTTGTTTTTTGGTGAAATTGCAAATTGTGTTCTTACCAATGAAACTTAACAGTTAATTGTGCTTGATTTTTTTTTCTTAAACAATGAAAAACCCTTTTAATTAAAAATTAATATGTTAAGGGAAAGTTTGGAACTATTTGATTTGATTACCATTGAGACAGCTTTCCACGAAAGTTCAAATGATGTAACCGTAGGCATACGACATTTCAAGGACATGAGAAAAAGCCATACTGTATAGTCATCTATAAAAGACCCCGATAATAAACACCAATTCAATTGAGAAGAATAACGGCCTAATTTATTACAATTTACGAAAAACAATATGACAGACATGAACCAACAACAACCACTGAACAACAGGCTCCTGACTTGGGACAGTCACATAACGGAGGTGGCAGGGTGAAACATGTTTGTGATCGCTCAACCCTCTCCCAGCCTGGGACAGTGGTGTAACAGCACAACATAAGAATAAGCATTTATTTAGTACAGTATTATTTTAAAACAACAGCTTTCAAAAATTCACTTAATTTTGATGGCAAGTATTAGTAACCAATCAATATATAAAGAGATATGAATCACCTGTGTGCAATTTTGATAGATATATATTATGCAAATGTTGAAATTTAAATTACAATACTTAAATGACTACTTACCCATTTTTCATCAGTATTCTGATATATTAAAGTATAGAAATTGACCCTATGTAAAAGTTTCAAAGTCAATGAATCATGACTGGGGGAGGGAAAATGATCATTTTGGAGATGAGATGTGCAAAATCTAGTACAACTGCACATCTAATGTAATAACCGTTAATGTTCAGCCTTAAACTGACCAAATCACAAACATAAACCTGTAAACTAACTATGCATTTTCGAAATCAATAGACAGTGATTGGGGAGGGATAATCGCCATGGAAATAATTTCCAGTGTCTTTTTATAAATGGTTACTAGAGTGACATCCCTTAATTATTCCCCTTCTGACTGAACTAAATAGCAATACACATTGCTATGAGTTGATGCTCTATTGAATATAAATGTGTAAACCTAATTTTGTGATTGAATTCAGTCATAATATTTTTTTTACTGCTGCAGAACTGGTCTTTTCAACAAATATTTCCTGAATTTGTATTGACTGAATTCAGTCATCTGTATTATAGATGTGTATACTATGTAAAATCACACTTGGTGTAATTTAAGTCTTAGAAAACACTCTAATTTAGTACAATTTCTTGTAGCTTCTATCAAATGCTGTGTGACTGAATTCAGTCACCATTTTGTGAAAATAATGAACAGGATAAAGAGTTAATTTCATTTAGCTGTTATCCTGTTATATGTTGCTTGTATTAATCTATAATCCGAATTCTGTTTCATCTGAATTAACAGGAATAGGTATTAGTTAAGAAGCAACAAGTACAAATGTATTTGATAGATATTTTACGAATAAAATGGTAATGTTACTTTCTATTGTACTTATTGAATTATGTTATATGAAGATGCAATCAGGTGACTGAATTCAGTCACTCAAAAAATTATCACCGTACAATGCTATTTTATTTTTTGTAAGTTGATCATATTAATGGGGTCATTAATATGAATATATTCTGTGTTGACGTTTTCATCCATTTTAAATAAAATGCGCATTGCATTCAATGTTGAATGTTAAATGGTATTCTATAATGAATAATATATCTACTAAGTTCAACCCTTGAATTTTGACAAATCAGAAAATTGACAAGTTGAACCAGACGGTGTTAATAATCGAATTATCCTGCGACTGATATGATTATATAATATATGGTAAACTATGCTTGCCAATGAGAGAACTTTTCAATAAACATGGCGTTGAATGTTGAGTCTTAGCAAAGCGAGCTAAATGACATCAAATTGACCAGTGTTGTACAAGATATAAATCAATGGCAATATTTTTATACAAAAAAAAAAACGAAAAAACAGACACGATAATAAGCAAACAAAAAAACAGGCTCCGGATTTGGACAGGTATATTAAGTATGAGACTGTCGTACAAGTGAGAGGTTTAGCGCTATAAAACCAGGTTCTATCCACCATTTTCTACATTTGAAAATGCCTGTACCAAGTCAGGAATATGACAGTTGTTGTCCAATCGTTTGATGTGTTTTGTCATTTGATTTTGCCATGTGATTACCGGTAGGGACTTTCCGATTGAATTTTCCTCATAGTTCAGTATTTTTGTGATTTTACTTTTTATACATATATAAGCAGCAAATTGAATGTATTAGCTGGATCCAAACCCATTTCTAAGGTGGAACGGGATTTTACGGCAAAAATTAAATGGTAAGCAAGTAGATTTTGTCTTATTTGGTAGGAATAAAACTTTCACATTTTATGAAACAAAATATCGTACTTGCTCTGACATATGTATTTTAAAAAGAAAAATATATAAAATTACTGAGGGATTCTAGTTGAAATATTACCTCTACCAATAAACACCTTAGACACTCTAGAAGTGTAATCCATTGGTAGTAGTTTGACCTTTCACACTGGTAACTAGAGGCTCTAAAGAGCCTGTGTCGCTCACCTTGGTATATGTGCATATTAAACAAAGGACACAGATGGATTCATGACAAAATTGTGTTTTGGTGATGGTGATGTGTTTGTAGATCTTACTTTACAGTACTGAACATTCTTGCTGCTTACAATTATCTCTATCTATAATGAACTTGGCCCAGTAGTTACAGTGGAAAATATTTTGTAAAAATTTACAAAAATTTACAAAATTTATGAAAATTGTAAAAAATTGACTATAAAGGGCAATAACTCCTTTAGGGGTCAGTTGACAATTTTGGTCATGTTTGGCTTATTTGTAGATCTTACTTTGTTTTACATTATTGCTGTTTACAGTTTATCTCTATCTATAATAATATTCAAGATAATAACTGCAAAATTTTCTTAAAATTACCAATTCAGGGGCAGCAACCCAACAACATGTTGCCTGATTGGTCTGAAAATTTCAGGGCAGATAGATCTTGACCTAATGAACAATTTTATCCTATCATGCTTTGGTTTCAGAGATATGAGCCAAAAACTGCATTTTACCCTATGTACTATTTTTTAGCCATGTCGGCCATCTAGGTTCGCGGGCGGGGTCATCTGACACATTTTTTAAACTAAATACCCTAATGATGATTGTGGACAAGTTTGGTTAAATTTGTCTTAGTAGTTTCAGAGAAGAAGATTTTTGTAAAAGATTACAAAAATTTACGAAAAATGGTTAAAAATTGACTATAAAGGGCAATAACTCCTTAAGGGGTCAACTTACCACTTTGGTCAAGTTGACTTAATTGTATATCTTACTTTGCTGAACATTATTGCTGTTTACAGTTTATCTTTATCTATAATAATATTCAAGATAATAACCAAAAACGGCAAAATTTCCTTAAAATTACCAATTCAGGGGCAGCAACCCAACAATGGGTTGTCAGATTCATCTGAAAATTTCAGGGCAGATAGATCTTGACCTGATAAACAATTTTACCCCATGTCAGATTTGCTCTAAATGTTTTGGTTTCAGAGATATAAGCCAAAATCTACATTTACCCCTATGTTCTATTTTTAGCCATGGCGGCCATCTTGGTTGGTGGCCGGGTCACCGGACACATTTTTTAAACTAGATACCCCAATGATGATTGTGGCCAAGTTTGGTTTAATTTGGCCAAGTAGTTTCAGAGGAGAAGATTTTTGTAAAAGTTAACGACGAGGGACGACAACGACTGACGACGATGACGGACCAGGTGAGCTAAAAATGAAAGCTAACACCATCCAGAAATGAACTATTGAAATTAAAACATTCCTTATCTCCCTACTTTATATTTAACACCACTCTCAACATGCCATAATTGTCCTAATTTACAATAAAAAGAAAATATTATCCTCCAAACATGGTAATGAAAATACTGAGATATAATTTACAATTCAGTTGAAATAATAATTAGCATAAAAAAAGTTCTAAAGTTCACGTATTGACTTTTTTTTCTAAAAAAGCAACTTGTATTACAGTCTATCAGTAAAGCAGGCAACATTTTCGTGTGTGCACTCTTGATACATTTTGATCTTATATTGTAATTTTAGTTATGTGTTTTGCTCATTGTTGTAGGCAGTAGGATGATCTGTTATTGATAACATCTTTGTCCTTTGGTCTTTACTATGGACAGTTTTGTCATATTGGCAATCATACCTCATCTCCTTAATTATTATCACAAAAATATTGTTGAAAAGCAGATATAGCCTGATATATAATTTATTATCTCACCTCTGTGAAGTCGAAAAAGCAAGACTTATGTATGCTGAATCTGGTGGAGTCTGCAGCTTCAACAATGTATTGGTTATGATAAGGTCAGTTTATGGAAAACCACTTTATGGCCTGCAACTTCAGTCATGGTTAATTGACTGAGTGTGTTAAATAGTTTACATGTTAAGGTTTGTGATTTGTTTATTTAAGATGAACCACTGATGTTAAGTCAATAATATTTAGTATGCAGTTGTGTTAGCATTTGCAAGTTGCAATTCCATTAAGATTATATGTGCCAGCTCCCTCATCTTAAAACTTTTGCATAGGTTACATGTTAAAGTTTGTGTATCCATCAGTTTATGGTTTATCAACTGAACGTTGTGCATAGTTTACATGTTTAAATATTGCCATTTTAATTTCAACATTTGCATTATAATATCAAAATTACATAAAAACAAGACATATCTCAGTGTTATTTATTGCGAACCAAATGAAACTTTTCCACAGATTCATCTCCAATTGGTCAATCTATTTAAACTTTTGTCCGTTCTATTGTCCCATTGAATAAATACAATAGCTATTGTTCTCTGTGTAGTTTTTTTACTGAGACCTTTAAATTTCTTTTAAGAGAAATCCATCACTCATTGATTAATTTACCTGAGTAAAAAAATTATCTTCTAAAAGATAAAAATATATGTTTTACATGCACAAAATTGCATGTGATGTTGTATTTATTCAATATCAATAATATATTTTCAATCTGTTGAACGTACCAATGAGACAACTATCCACCAAAGTTCAAATAAAGTGGATGTAAGCAATTATAGGCAACGGTACAGCATTCAACAATGAGAAAAAGCCATACCATATAGTCGGCTATAAAAGGCCCCAACATGAAAATTATGAAACATTTCAATTGAGAAAACTAACGGCCTAATTTATAACAAAACAGTTAACGAAAAACAAATATGACAGACATGAACCAATGACAATCACTGAACTACATGCTCCTGACTTGGGATAGGCACATAAAGAATCTGGCAGGGCTAAATATGTTAATGAGCGCCCAACCCTCCCCCTAACCTGGGACAGTGGTGTAAAAGCACAACATAAGAACAAACAACAAAAATCAGTTGAAAAAGACTTAACTCATCAGATCAATACAAAGAAAAGAAACATCAAACATAAACCCAGACCGAATGTGGCAGGATATTTTTCCATCCCTCATCCCTAACAACAAAAAGAACACGATGTACAGATCTGAGAGTACTCGCAGTTACTGACAACTAGTTCAAAGCCAATAACAACAAATAAAAAAAAAATCATGTATCCAAGACTAAAATATCAATCAGTACACATCCAACATCCAATGGATTTTGTGTAAAGACGTCATTAACAGTCTAAGAGAAAAACATGACCTTGTGTAATTCCGAAATAAAGGTATCAACAGACTGTAGTACCGATAAAGTGCATATGTGTATAACAAAACTATTTTGTATGATTTTAAATTACTGATAACAAAATCAATATTTATACCAATAAAAACAATATTCAAAGATCTAATTACAGTGTTGAATTGGTAACCTTTGAGAATAAGTAAGGATTGATAAGTTTACCCAGATTGTATATAAATTTCCGTGCTCTGTAAACAACATCACCGTAAAATTTAGGTTGTGCTTCTACATTTGAAATAAGTTTTTTACAGGTACAGCCAAACTTGCAAACCAAATCTTAGTATCTATGGAAGAATTTATTAAAGGTTGTAAGTAATTTGTGGTAACGAAATCCCTGACTTAATAATTTACCAGTAATACATAGATTACGCTCACAGAAATCCAAAACCTCACTACAGACACGGGCATAACGAACGATTTGGGATATATAAACACCATAAGATGGTCCAAGAGGAACATCATCGTCCAAAAAAAGAAAATCAAAAATAGGGAAAGAAAAATCATCCCTTTGGTCGTAAATTGACCAAGGCCTCAATTTCATGGTTCATTGGTCAATGTTTAGTTGGTGTTTTCATGGTTTAGTCAGTTTCACAGATACTATAAGTAACTGGTCAACTACATTTGGTGTATGGAATGCTTGTAAGGTGTACATGTCTATAGGGTAGATATCGTCTGACCTTGACTTCATTTTAATGGTTCATTGATCAAAGTTAAAATTTCATGATTCTCAGATACTTTAAACAGAAGGGCAACTAAAGTAAGTGTATGGGAGGGTTATGAGATTTAGATACAGTGGATTCATTTTTTTCGTGGGTACCAATTGTGGATTTAGGATAACTTGCATTTTCGTGGATATTTGATTTTGTGATTTTCCAAAAGTCTGCATATACAGGTAATCATACACCAAATTTGTGGTTTCCCTGT